AGGCATCCTATTTGATTCTTGGCTCATTTTTATTGATACCAACTAACACAAAACAAAAAACAATCGTGAGTAATGATGCTTATTTAGCATTCTGAGCTCTAAACACACGTATAGAATTAGCACTATAGCGTATTATCACTACCTTATGAGCCGAGGCAGAATAAGGATGGTGGCTATTCATAGACTACTACAGAGCGTCATTGTTAGTTTGCACAGAGACGCGTCCGCTGTTGAAAAGACCAGCCTTCACCTTGCTCCTCACATGATCAGCCCACTTTAGATACTATTCATATTTATAAGGATTCTCCATGTAGCCGACATTTTGTGTATGTATTTGGAAATTTCGAAACCAAATTCATTCTAACCGTTTAAATAAAAATACCATTCGTTGAAACAGTAACGTAAAACGGTATATTTTTCTCTGGCCGTGATCTTCTTCTACCAATCTAATCTTAATCTCCAAAGTCTAATTTATGTTGTCAATAGAAGTCGTAAAATATCTGAAATAATGTTTTCGTGTTATTGACATTGATACTTCTTTCACGTAACACTTTGTTTATGCAATGAGTTAAAATTAAATTTTATTAACTAATAAGGTGATTTAAAAAAATATGTGAAATCGTCGGTGTGAAACAACGCTTGCATTGTGTTTCGTCATGTGAGTGAAGTTTCTGGTAACTTCAAGCAGCTCAGGCCTTTTCCTCCCCTTTCCCAATCCCCATTCCTAAAACCCGAAATGTTTGTCGCTTTTAATAAAAAAATCAATAGGAAGCAAGCGAGAAAATACATTTTAATAGTTCAACGCGTTAGTTTCTCTTTCAATAATTGTATCGACCATCAAAGCAAAATCTCCATCCTTCCATCATCACTAACGCAATAAAATCATGTTGAAAATAGTAGTACCGAATAATCGAAATTATTTTATTTTCTTTACTACCCAAATCGGTTTGTAACTGGGACTGTAGACACTTATTAAATAGTTAATTAATAGGTACCAATAGACAAATTTTAATTACGCTTCAGAAATATATTTAATAGTACGTTTATTGATTTAATGTACTGACATATACATACTGTTCAACATTAACAAACGATAGGAGTAAATTACTTATTTATCTTAACATGTTTTTTGTTTATTGTTCTTAAACTTAGTTAACAATGTAGAAAGCGGAAAACGGTGTTACAGTTATGTAATACTAATTGTAATGTTTAGCGGACACGCAGCGGTGGTTAGATATTATGTTAGAATTAAAAAATCATTTATATTACGGTCTCGACTCAGTCCCGCAATGAAAACACTCTCCGATTCTCCCCAAAAGCGAATGGCAGCAGTTGGCGCGGAGTGAAATTTTGGCATCCGTCCTACTCTGCGAAATTGTTACATAACAATGCAGGTATGCGCCCTCTTCATAAGACAGGATGTTTAGTCGATTCCATCATGTATCCAAGCCACCCAACGCTCTCTGCACCTAACACAACCCTGACCTTCCTCGGGGACATACTTATTATAAATAGCAACATACATACATAAAAATGATTACAAAATCTTAAGATGTAAGCACTCGTGAACAATGGAATGACTTGATTATATGACATTAAAGTCCGACTCTGATAAGTTAATGTGCACACTGATTGAGCACAATAATAAGAAAGCTTTAAAAAAACCAAACAAATGCTTGATGCATTGTTTGAACCCACCAACTTGTCTAGCGTAATGGATGGATACTATTTTATTATGAACCGTAAAGACATAAAAAACTTAGTATTTTTTTGGCGTTATATTCATGAGGCCTTTTAGTCAGCAGGATAGGAACAATGTCGCCTCTCCGAGTATTCAGTTAATAATACAATACGGTGAACAGCAGCGTCGTAAAGCATCTGTTGTGACTATTATATTGCAAGGTTTCTTAAGTGCCCTCATTCCAAGTGTTGTTAACTAACGTCTACCTACCTGTCCCTAGGACAATTATATTCAGCTCCATTCATAAATCGGCATCATACCTGTGCTCTTTCATGACAGTGTTTACTGATTCACAGTTCTGTCATCATTTTTAATTGTTCAAACAAGCATGCATATTGTACCAATGCTGTATTGTCAGACTCGGCACAATGATCCAATATATTACTGAGTATATTCTCGTACTTGCAACTTAAACTAGTAGCTAACTGAACTAATTACTCTTTACCCTGTAGAAGGGCTTTGAGAATGGTGCAATAGTTTTTAACATTTAACCATTTTCATCTTGTCAATCATTACTCGACCTACAATATGTGTTGTTGGTAAACAATGTTTTCATTTAATGAGTTAACTAGAGAAGTCAACTCGTTGCTACGCCTATTGGTAATGTGTAGTTATGTTCGCGAGTCTGTGGTTTCACTATCATTTATTGTGCTATTCCAGCTGCTAGGTGGACAGTTATAACGATGCTAGTTGTAACACTAACCGTGAGAGCCACTTTGTGTTCATTATACTGTTGCCACTGCCGTTACTCGCGCGAATTCAACACGTTTAAATTATTTAATAATACATTTATGAATTTTGCATAAAGAATAACATTCTATTAGACCAACATAATATTAAGGCGAATTTTGATCATCGTGAGCCAACAATTTCAACTTAGTAACAAGCTTATTTAGTCCGAATTTAATGATACTTAATTTATGACACGATACATCTTCATCATCCCACTTTATTGACCTAAATCTATCCTACATTATATATTAGAACGTAAAATCGTGGCAGCTCGTGCCTAACCACAATTAATTAAGTGTCTAACCACGATGTGTCGATACTAAATTAAAACTAGACTCTAAAACTTCATCTATGCCTAGTACACATCGAGAAGATACTATACTATACTGCACATAACATTTAGAATATATTTTAGTAAACATTTTGAATTTTGGCATGCCACTGCAAACACGGAAAATACACTGTCTCTTGATTTCATAATTAGATATTGGATACCTAAGGGGTAAAAGTGGAACTTTATTACACTGTCGTTCAATTGCAATAAATAATATAATAATAAACTAGATTAAAGGGGACCATTTATTTCCGTATATTGCTGTCTTAGTGTTTAAACTTAAAGGGTCAATAAACTACCTACGTACAATTTACCGTTTTATAGTTAGGTAAATATTTACGATAAATATTAGCATTGAGTATAGATGCTATAGACATTTTGCGTTTGCACGAAGTAATGACCGCATATATTTCCCGTTAGATGCCGCGCGGACCCAGAACGGGGTACATTTTGCCGGCAGTTTGACCGCAATCAACCGAATTGGAGTATATTCTCAGAAATGTGAACGACTTGCATTAGCCACTTAATTCGAACGTGTTACTTGATACAAATATCCTGATTTGTTTCCCTTTGTTTCATTATACCTTTTACACAAAAAACTAATTTGTAAAAAGATGTAGATACATATCTGTACACAACAAGGTCTTACTGTCGTACTAATTTGTGATTTGACGATTACTTAGTTATTCTTTAGTAACGATTTTATTCCAAAATTAATTATTAAGGACTAAACTTCTATAAAAAAAATTATGATTAAGTAACCATTAAATGATTCCGAATAGGTACGGCGGCCGTCAGATATGTCTGCAAAATAACGATTTTAAGCAAAAATTTTCTTAAAGCAGAACACGTTTAAAATTGTAATACTTAATAATCTTTATTATCTTCAGTTTTTTTTTATTCTCAGTTTTAAGGGCTTTATCGCTGAGCGATAACGTCACCCTGTAAAATCAACAAAAATAGTTACTAACTAAAATTGCAAAGGATGTATAAAATTATCTTCAGTTAATACTGTCGCGACTATCTAGCCAGTAGCCACCTGTGCAAAAGTAAACAAACCGTATGTATGTTGAAACATCGTCATCGCTAAGAAACATATGGTAGAAACCACAACGCAGGGGGTCACGGGACAGAATCATCCTGCCAATAATAACCATTTAACCCACCGCGACATACATATTTGGAATTTCTAATAAAGGGTTTTATTATTCTTTTGTAACCACAAACATTGTTTTACAATCATTTGACGTAAAATACAAACTTCGAACGTGGATTTAAATTGTTGATAGCTTACAAATAGAGATACCTAAAGGAGTAATAATTTTAAACGGTTTTATAACACTAGATGGTTAGCTGTGCTGTTTCCTTTTTCTAAGACTAACTTGTAACTCTAGTGTAGCAAGCTAGAAATAAACTAAGAAAGTAATAATTCACTGATTAACCTAATTAAATAGGCATTTGAAATGCATTTAGAATGCTGTCAACATTGTTACAGTTTTATTTTGCTAATTTAGCGTAAACAGAAAAAAACTAGCTGATCTATTATTTTTATACAGCATAACATGACTCAATATGTTTCACAATAATAATTAAAAGTAGTAGGTATAGTGTTCCATACACTAAAATATTACGTGAACCTATTGACTATCGTGCCAGCGTGGCCCTTAGTCGAAAAGCCATTAGTGAGGAACCGTCAGCCTTCGGCATGGAGGCGTCACAGTGACCTTGCCGTGTCAGCTTTATATAGCGATTTACCTTTAATTTATGGTACACATTTTATTTGCGAAATTTTCCGATCGATACAGCACGTCTTTTATTTGTAAATATAACCTTTTTTTACTTTAGTATCGCTGGAAGTCATCCAAAACATGAATGTTAGCAGACTACCAGATGGGACACGTAATAAACTGAAACATTTGTTTAACAAATACATATCAGTACATAGAGTACATACATTCTTCATGTATTCTTGAAAAGCGTGGGTTATGACAAAACTAATTATAGCTTCTTCATCTGTCCGTCCGCTTACATATTTGTTTTCAATGACGAAAACACTGAACAAAAAAATTTTATCGGCACGCGACTATTACGTCATTTTGGAAAAATATCTGTACAATGAGTGTTGTTTATTGCGTAGGTATATGTCTTCTTTATTTTGGGGGAAAGACCTGAAACGTTTATGTTTGTTACCAGGTGGAGGAGTGTTCAAGTGAAGACTGGTATGGGCGTGCGGTGAGACGCGGAGTCCCACAACAAGATGACGGAGGGAGAACGACAACAGAATGCGGGCGGTACAAACGCCGCACCACAGCACAGGAAAGGGCACAGGTCAGCCAATTAATTTCACACAGTCTATCGTATGCAATCACCATATTCACACAAGACCCGTCATTCATTGTTTCAAATGGCAATATCAAAAAAATATTCGAGACAAAATCTCATTGATATAGCCGAGAATTTAATGTCCCTTTACTTTATGATCTAACACTTTCAAAACACTATTTATTCATTTTGCCAATAATGTAGATTTAAATAAAAAAGAGAGAAAATCATCCTTTTCTTGAAGTCGATTAAAAAAGTTTTTATTGGTTGTGCATTCCCAATGATTCAACTTGTCTCAATTATTTATATTAGTATAAAACCTGTTAGTAAGTAATATCATGTCACAAAAAGTTGTAACTTCTATTGTTAGTGCTCTATAGAACATTCAAGTGAAATCTGAATGAATTAGACAATGATGTCATCTTAGTTGAAAACGAATTTAGGTAAACTTTCACTCATCCTTTTTGAATGACCTGACGTGGCACAAACAAAACACAATGACTATTCTGTCAACCACAATTTAAACTCAATTCTGAACATTTGCTTTCCATAAATATTATTTAGGACAGTATTGTAATACTATTTCAGCAGTTCAAACACATAGAATAGAATACTAAGATGGATAAACAATAAGCATTTCTATTTCAGTGCAATGCCAATACTCGAAATGCTTCTGTCAAATCTCATATCACGTGTCTATTAGGGGTGACATTGGTATAGATACGGTTTTTTTTTTGGAGAGGGTGAATATATCATGTGGCTTTTCTCGCCCTAGTGTCAGTCTCTAACTGACTAAAAACTCACCGTTCTTTCTCCTGTTCCGAGCCAAATCTGCGGTAAACTGTAGGTATAGATACTGCTTCAAAGTAATTGTACTTCGTAGATCCAATTCAGAAGTCAATGATACAAAATAAAATTTATGTTTCTATGCGCTCTGGTTCACGGGAGTATCTTTCATGAATTATTATGATGACCCACTTCTCGTTTCGATTGCACGTTGCTTGCTTTATCACTGTATAGAATTAGCTTTGGTTGGTACTCTTTGTTCGTTGAACTTTCGGGTCATTCGAATTTGTTAGCTGTGCAAATGAAATAAATAGATAACGTGCAAACATAATTAGTTTGAATAGAAATATACTAAATAATCTATCAGTTGTAATAAAATTAGAAATGATAAATTCAAAAAATACCTATTGACGCAATAAATGAAAGAGCTACTATTAAAATTAGAATATCAATCTTCAAGGGAGGAACGTGTTATACGACATTAATTTTATTTACTGTCGGTAATTTACTAATGATATTAAACATTTTCCGATTAATATTTCTAAAAGGATAATTTTCTAATACAAGTACCGTGCGCTGCATTCATTGCTAGAAATTAATGAAACCCATTTTTTCTTCTACTACTGTATTTATATTTTGTTAAACGATTAATGCCCGGTTCCTATAATTGAGAAACGATCCGTTTTAGTTACGAATAGTAGTTTTATATACGACTCGTAAGCTAAAACCGTTCCTATAACAAACGTCTCGTCGTGCAACTTACTGACGGTTTGCAACTAACGGATGTCGGTAAGCGAATTGTATGGAGATCTATGGTGTCTGTGGTGTCCCTATAAATATTTTAACCGTCAGTAGACGGTCAAGATAACTATTCGTAATGTCATTTGGTCGTAATGCGTATACAACGACGATTCGTTAAATATAGGAACCGGGCATTAATAAGTAAGTAAGTAAGTAGGTGTCCACGCTGAGTTGTTGCAATTCAAATAGTGGTTTCATAATCAGCTCTGCATTATCGTAGTAGTCAACGATTCAGTTTGTTAATTGCCATTATTACGTACGAATGTATTGGACCATGAAATCAATATGTTATCCTTTATTGTCTTTCATTAGGAACGGAAATAAATTGTTAGGCATGGTATATGTTTTGATATACAAGTTTACATGGTGTTTTTGATACTGCATTTATATCGACATTGTTTAACAAAAAGCAAAATGTATACTGAGAATCACAGAATGCGGAATCAAAACAGTAATTTGATCATTACAAAACAACGGACACTTCTTCCCACGGACACGATTCGTTTTATCTCTTAAATGTGTTATTTATCTATAAAACTAGAAACATTGCTCTACATTAGTTAGTATCTACTAGCTACATTACATTTAAATATTGTTCAAGTAAATACAGTTTTTAATGTTGTTGTTTTTCCTCGTGGGTAAATACTTTGTGGTACCCCTCGACGACAAGGTCATTTTATCATACTCGTACATTATCATTCAAGATAATCGTTACTGATATCTTTCCATTGAATTCAATGTTGACTCATTATAATACCCGTGTAGCAAATAGGTTCAAAAAATATATATAAACATCGGTATCTGTTAGTGAATCACTAGATTATCTAAAAAGCGAAATGTTTATATGTTCAGACTAGATAGGGCAGGGCTTATCTCACGTGACTAGGTAAATATTAGGTGTATTCGATAAGGGGTTTAAAGCACCGGTTTCCGAAGGCCAGTTACGCCATACGTTAGGCTAGGCTCCAACATACGCCTAGATGGTTGCCCAAAGTAAACAGTAGAGTTCACGTGCCGCACATGTGTATTGCACATTGCAGCAACTTAGTAGTTAAACTTTGCTAGTCATTTCGGTGCCCCAGTCTGAGAGTTGTTATGATTTAGCCGTTGGATGTTTTGGTATCATTTACCTAAACATAACAACAGCTGACATTACCACAGTTATCATACGCCTACGATAGGTTTAATGCGTTGGACTCATTGGAAGCTGTAAATATCCAGGAAGATTACAGTCATAACCCGGTTCCCGTCACCTGTTTGAATGGAACAAACAAAATCCTTGGTCCCTTGTAAGATAACGTCGTGTACTCGTCATATCAGTGATAATGTAAGGTTTGCAACACCTGGCCCATATTCGTATCGTGCGCTGCTCTGATATCACCCACAGCAGACAAAGCTTAAAGTTTAGTCATCTTAGTACTAATCATACGCTGTGGCGGGCACTACGTTCTTGCAGATGTATTAACAAAAACTATTTATGTTACAATAATCTTAGTCTGTATCATTACATACATGTTTATTTATCAACAGTGTGTGTGAAGTAGTTGCGACTAGTGCCAGTATGCCAGAAAAATTGGAACAATTAAATTATTTACTAGACAGGTAGTATTCATTTGCACTTGTAATACCTAATGATGATTCGTAAAAAAACATTAGTTTCTCGGTACCTGTTCGATGACAGACATTGTCTTGTCTGTATGTAAACAATGCTCACATTGCAGTATTTCCCACCGTTCTCTTAGCACTTTCCATCATTACTAAATGCCTAGAAAGCCTTTAATTCCGTTAACCGCAAAAAAGACAATAGTGACAAAACAATGCGCAAAAACTACCTCGCTACGCCACGTAAGCAGGTAGGTTTGCTGATACATCAATGACCCTGTCAACATTGAACATTGTAACATTTAGGAAATAGTTCATAGTTTTTAATGTTTATACACTTAAAATGACCGGATGCGGCAGAAATGATGCCTATTCGACTATATCATATGAACGACCTCCAGATAAAATCAGCAGATTATTTAAAAAGAGCCAAGTTATGTGGATAGTTTGAAAGGCCATTTGTATGTAGGCTGGGTGACATTCAAGCAATTTATCATTGCGAAGTTTGTCGTGACTGCTCTGACGGACCCATACGCTATCGTAGAACCCTGAAGTTATGAAGACCCTCGCCTATATCTTACAACTACCTACTTTTATTTCATAAATTCATATATTCTCTAGCGTTGCATGTCTCATGGCATATTTGATACTTGAATATAAAAACTTGGCATTGAAACAATACACCGCAAGTTGAGCTTGCTTGTTGGCTTGGAAATACCTACGTACCTAAATATGCTTTTCCATTAAATTTGATATTGGTCGATCGTATTTTTAAATATTTGTTAACTTTAATTAAAAATACTACCAAAGCAGTGTTGACTGCGACAAAAATTCATAATGTAAAACAATACATAACAAAATATTAACTAAAAAAACGACTTAGTAACGTAAATTAACTTGGATTAGGTCTACTAGTTTCAAATCACAACGGGACTCTTATTGCATTAGCAGCATGCGCGTCGTAGCGATGTCCCACAGCCAACTGTTGACTTTGTGACATAACTAGTTAAGCTTTTCTCTGATAAAGTCGTCATTTTCAACAAATTTAATATAACATTGACAAACATTAATTTAAGGTTGGTTTTCAGGAGGCAAGAGTCAATGTACGCAATGACGGGGTTGTACGCGGAATCCGGGTGCGCGGAGGGCGCCGGAGACGAGGCTGGGCCCAGCACCCCGCCGCATCCGTCCCACCCGCCGCGGGAATCAGTCAAATGCCACAGCCGAAACCCGTCGGCCGGCGTATGCGACAGGTAAACCATCAACAAACCTATTTTTTATAAGGTAAAAACATTAAGTGACTTCTCTCGCCCAGAGTAGGGTGGAAGGGAGTGTCAGACTCTTACTGACTAAAAAACACCCCGTTCCGAGGCCGTGGTTACTTATTGCGCTTGCCCCGCAATACCAGCTAGCCAATAATAACCTTCTACAGATAAGTAATGTGCAAACGTTGTAATTTGAACTGCCACTAATTAAAAATAAGTATTATGACCCCTTAACCACACTTATTACAACGCCAGAACTTGACGAGTTCATTATTCTGTCTTCTGGGATATTTTACATCAACACTACAGTTGCCCACTCGAATGTTTTAGTGTGTTGTTTGACAATGTCAAAAGTTAGATGATCCAAAGGAAGGATCCAAAAAATCAAGAAATACCTGTCAGACCGTCGCTAGGGCTGCGCACAAGCCGTGAATTTCATTTGCATCAGCTGTAACATACACGGCATTAATAGCATCATGAGCATACCTACATTAAAAGTTGATCACATAAAAACTTAGGAACTTTCTGACGCTATCTTCTTATTTATAGAGACCGCGAGAGGGACAAGGAAAGAGAAAAGCCTCGACAAATGTACCCAGAAATATTGGACATTCCTCATGACGCAAGAGATTGCGGTATCTTGTCATGGAGACCGCTATTCATCCAGAGATTTTCTAGTATTAAAGTAAGTTGTAACAAAATCAAATAGCGGCATGTCATTGTCAGCCACTCAGTTTAAATTAGTACATTTTTCTAACGTTAACAATCTTTCAGGTGTTTGTATTTTTCCTTTCGTTCCTGGTAACTCTACAACAAGCGTTGAGCTCCGGCTACATTAACTCTGTGATCACTACAATCGAGAAACGTTTCGAGATTCCGTCAAGTCTGTCGGGCCTCATCGCCAGCAGCTACGAGATCGGTAACGTCATAACTGTCATCTTCGTATCGTATCTCGGCAGCAGGAGACACATTCCAGTGTGGATTGCAGTCGGTGAGTGAAAATTTCTTCTATTCCAATATCCTCTCCAATTTATTGACTTAAGTTTCTTAATCTTTTTTGCTCGTGGTTTATGCAAGGCCTTAAGCAAAGTCAATAATACTTATAGTATTGACATTTCTTTATAACCTTGCCCCCGGTCGAATGGATTGTTTAGTAAATATCAATTCTTCGAAAGCAATTTATGACCCCAGTAGGTACATACCTACTTACGTACAGCGATACAGAATGTTTATGAGGTTTATTATTGTAGGTGCTGTAATTATGGGCATCGGCTCGTTAGTGTTCGTCGTTCCGCATTTTATAGCGGAAGTAAATAGCGAAACTTTGATGAACAATAAATCTGACGACAACATCTGTCGACTGCCACGTGCACTGGAACAGGATATGGGCGGGCTGGGCCGCCTCTCGCAGGGCTTACCACCCAGCAACTTGAGGCCAGATAATTGCATTAAGGTTTGTAACTCTTACATGACGATTAGTATAATATTTTGCAATTTGATTATCAATAGACATTCATTTACGAGACAAAACAGCTGTCTTTGGTTACTTTCACTCAGTGATAAAACTGCTTACTTAAGTAATTATCATGGGTTGGGTACAAACCCAACAGTGCGATGTTGCCTAGTACTGCTAAGTGTAAAAGATCAAATATTCAATGAATATTCATCCGTGTCTTCATGACTAACAGTTAGAATTATTTTGGCAGAGTTCCCCGAGCACCTTCATGCCTGTGATGGTGTTCATAGTGGCGCAGTTGTTACTGGGCTGCGGTGGCTCACCTCTGCTCACTCTCGGCACCACTTACGTGGACGACCATGTGCGACCAGAATCCTCCAGCATGTATATTGGTAAGTCATCTGCTACCTTGTTGCAGCGGATCGATTTTTCACAGTCTCCACTGTTTTAGTTCTAGGATGGAATTCTCTATTTTCCATTTTAGATCTATTAGGGACAGTAAGGTTTACCACTAAAAGACTATCAAGGTTCCACGTAGTGTTAACATCATCACGACTCCACCAAGTCGTGCGGCTACTTGGCTAAATGTATACCAATGACTCATATCAAGTTTAATGTTCATCCTGTTTGGATCAATTGTCAGCTCCTTCTTTCATCCTGAAATAGATTAAATGATTTGAAACACTGGTTACACGACCCCGATGTTCTCGTCCTATCTTTGTTTTAATTTGTCAATTTCTAACAGACGACAATAATTATTGGAGTCTTGGCAGTCATCAAATGTCGCTGTGATGGCAAGCACACTGCAAATGTCATAAATTATTATCACCCTTTGTTAACTTTGAAACGACTTGAATAGTATTGTGTCGTGACGTTTATTATACTGGCCGCGTGTCCTCTTCATGTCGTTTGAACCGTTGCATGTGAATATCATGCCTGGCTTCGATGTCCCCTCCACATAAAATGTGCATAAACCACATAGACGAGTCACTGAACTTGATTAAAATCCAACACCTCTAAATTATTTTTAAGGCTATTTGTTGAAATCAAAAACATGTTTTTCAAATATCTTTCTGCTACATGTTTACAAAATAAAACAACAATAAATATATCAATCAATCGTATCCTTAAATTCAGTATGTTACACATCTCTAACAATAACATTGTTTGCTGTCATTGTGTACGAGATAATAACAAGTTTACGTTATTATTTGCATCGCACTGTGTACATTATGTACAGGCCCATACACATTACTAACTGCAGCCTGCAAATATTTAGACACCAAATGTTTAAGATAGAAAGTAGGTACTTAGGTTCTAATTTAAAGTATTTTACGAATATTGTATAAACAAACACACAAACATTATCACTGTCACAACAGCGCGACGTTCCTAATGAAGTACATAGGTTAGTCCCTAATGAAGTAAAAGATATGAAAATAAAACATCATCGTAGACACTTAACCGTCTATGTGTGATTCATCGACACGGGAGTGGAACGCATTACAACAACGGGATCCATTTTATTAAATAAATTCACGGGAAAGGTAGATGAACCTGAACTTGCTCTTTGTTATATCTGTGTAGAATGTTCTAGAAAGAAAGCCGTACCAAACAGGTTCAGTTGTTCAGTGAATAGTCCTTTTAAGTTGATGCTCTGATTTCTAATTTGTTTATAAGTATTTTATTCATAAGCACAAAATTTAAAAGTTTGATACGAACGCAAGTATCATTCGTACAGTGTAATTGGTTTTCTCACTCTGTATCTACATTTTATGGCTATTCGAGTTTATTTACAATCCCGCAATACAACCTTAACTGATGGAAATGCTAATAAATGTTGCTTAAACTGATTTAGATTTATTATGCACATCGTAATTTATTCATAGCATAAAACGGAGGCCGCGGCCCTTTGACCTTATAACACCTATCCCCTACAGAATGAGAAAAATTGTTTTCGAGTGACACCGTCCCGCTGTACGCTACCTATATTGTTTAATTGTATACCTACATTGTATAGGGGCTGGCACGATGAAAATGCAGTGCCTTGAAAATTAACCGTAGTCGTGAGCAACGCCCTTGACCTACTTCTTATATCACACAACCAAGGAGAACAAAGTTATCGTTACCATTCTAAAAAAAAGCTATTGGAACCAATATTTTGCTGCAGTATTCTTATGACGTGAATCATACTTTGCAGGAGTTCAATTTTTTTCCGTGAGAAATATTTTTTAATTCGGTCGAAAATATAATACTTATAATTTATTTTCTCTCGCCGTACTTTGATGTAGCCTCATTGAAGGAATGAGGGGACGGATTTAAATAAGGTACTTCGGCTTAAGACTCCTGTGGACGCGACCTGGATTCGAGAGCTACTCGTATAGCCAAAAAGAGGTCTATATCGATCGATTTATGTTCGCTTTATTTTATAATGCTAGCTGTTTTATTTTTACCCACTTCTTTCGTGAGGTCTTTTAGTTTCGAGTTAATATCATCCGGTTGTGTTCGATTCAGTGTTTACAACATTTAACTCTCGCATTGCATAGTTGCTAGCACACGATTGAACCGAGTACCTAAATCGAATGAAAATTAAAATTATGGATTCGACCAACACGCAATGTTTAATAATAATCTTACATCACAACAAACATGTCCTCACACCGCGCGTATTCTCTTATTATTTATTTTTTATGCAATCAACCTACGATCTAGGATTAGGTATGGGTAGGTAGGTTAGGTACAATGTTATTCAGTTTTTTTGTACCTTATTATTCAGTAATCTATATCAAACGCTTATTTGTCGACCCTTGATATCACAAGGTATTGTATGTATACTCGTATGCGTATGTAGCAGTAACAAGCGAAGCGTTTTTAGGTATAGTCTTGGATATTAGCGGAAAAATCCGCGCCATTTGCAACATCACAAAACAAGAGTGACCTACTTTCCAAATCGTTGTGCCGTGCCGGGTGCACTTACTGTTTGAAACATTGTCCATACGCCACGTCACAAAAGGACAATACGTTTGACCTTTGTAGCCGATATCGTTACATTATCAGTTTCGTAATTTACACATAGGGAAAAACACCAGTTTTTGAATATAGGTACTTATTATTTTATATTTCAGTAGGCATACAAAATTAGGTGATCCTGATAATCTGATTTATTTTCGTAAATTTTTTCATAGCCTGGACCATTCTAAAAATTTTCACTCCCGCCCCACCCTGGGCGGGAGAAGATTTGATGTTTTTCCCCTCACAAAAAAAACTTCTGTCTACTAGATTAGTCTCTACAATAATGGCTACCTATGTACTAGCTGCAACTATCGTATCAACAGCTGATTATTGAGTGTACGTAATTGTCTTGTTTACAGGATGTATGTACAGTATGGCTGCTTTTGGCCCGGTACTCGGGTTCCTCCTCGGGGCATACTTGCTATCTTTCCATATGGACTCGTTCTCCGGCGCTATAATCTCTATAGGTGAGTAATCATTTCCTACTTTAGATACTGTCACATTAATTATTTTGTCAAAAAGGCTGTACCGCTGTTCTAAATTTGAATATAAAAAGGCATAGGTATGTATGAACTATTTACTACATAAAGTTATCGGGAACTTGCTTGTAACCTAGTAGTATAGTAAATATTTCATAGTACCTAGTAAATATTTCACCACCTCAAGGTGGTGATTTTTGCTTATGGGAGAGCCCTGCTATATTTGTGCTGCTGCCCTGCTGCCCCTAATTGTGTGTCGCCTAATTCTCAGATTTCTTACTTCCCCCTGGAATGGCTGGTAATGCAATTGTAATACCGGTGATATCAGTGATATGCCGTTGGCATTTGGCGCTCTGTCCCGTAACAAAATATGTATATACTTTAAAGAATGTTAAAAATTTCTAGATCCCGGTGACCATCGATGGGTTGGTATGTGGTGGGGCGGTTTCCTGTTATGCGGATTCCTCCTGATCCTAGTAGCAATTCCCTTCTTCTCGTTTCCAAAAGTATTGGTGCGAGAGAAAGAGAAAATAAGACTAGTAGAAAAAGCAGCGGCTGCAAGCGGGGCATCCACATCTAAACCTCCCGTGAAGACGCAGACAGATATAAAGGACACGGGTTATGGAAAAGACATAAAAGGTAAGAAAGAAATCCCACTTGCCAATTTTACACACTACTTAACTATTGAAGTCATTTTATTTATAACATTGAGTACAAGTTCGTCTATTTTCCCATGTATGCGTTTATACAATTAACAATATTGGTGTTATTTATTCCTCAGACATTCCGGTGTCGATGTGGCGGTTGCTCAAGAACCCCGTGTACGTGGTCACGTGCCTGGGAGCTTGTATGGAACTCATGATCGTGTCGGGCTTTGTCGTCTTCCTGCCCAAGTATCTCGAGACGCAGTTCAGCCTTGGCAAAAGTCAGGCTAGCGTTTTTACTGGTAAGACTTCTAACACGACAAATTTGACTTGTAGTATTTATGGAATTTGTTATTTGATTTTTGTATCTATCACCCTCTCGTTTCTGACTACATTATGTTTGTACAGGTTCCATAGCTATCCCGGGTGCCTGCATCGGTATTTTCATGGGTGGCTGCCTACTGAAACGATTGGAGCTTCGCCCTAAAGGTGCCGTCCAGTTCGTGCTCATATCCAACACCATCTGCCTCTCCTGCTACGCTCTGCTGTTCTTCCTCGGATGCGACAACATTAAGATGGCTGGAACCACAATACCATATACAAATCACAGGTAAAATAACTTTGTATGTCCTTAAAATTCTGTCTATTCACTTTGAAAACAAATTTTCCAATAAATCTCATGATGAATTCGTGATTTATTTACTATTATTATACTAAATCGTTTTTATTGTTGTTGCAGTAATTTAGAGCCTTTCAAAGTAAATCTGACGGCGGCGTGCAATTTCAACTGCCTTTGTACGGAGACGGACATGGAGCCAGTGTGTGGAAACAACGGCCTGACGTACTTCTCGCCGTGCCACGCTGGCTGCGCCGCCTTCTCCTCGCGCTCCAACTTCACTAACTGCGCCTGTAAGTGCTTTAGGGAAAACGAATGTTGCCTTGTTTTAAAAAATAATATCATTTCACGTGTTAGGCTAAGAACTCACGGAGCGATTTTCGCCCGCGTCCGCTGCGGTTGCGGGCCCGCAGCTTCTGTAGAATTCAAATATTTATATAAAAAATTAAAGCACATTTCACGACGCGTTTTACGCCCGCGGTGTACGCGGTTGTATGCGGCTCCCGCTGTACCGGCGGGCAACTAGTAGAATCGCGCGGGCCGCGGTTACCCGCAGCCTCGGCGGGTGGCGCCCGCGCGCTTTGCGATCGGTTGGTGAGCGACCGCGGGGGCCGGCGGGTCTTCTGTGAAGTAAATATAACGCAACGGCTCGTTTCTGGTGTGTGTCCATGGCGGTCTGGACCTCAACTGATCGTTAACCGCCCGTCTTGCAATCTTGCGATCATCGCCCGCCACGTTTGCGGGCGATGATCGCAACCGCGGCGGCTGTGTAACCGCGCAAATAACCGGTCTCGTGAGTTTGGAAATAAAACCGCAGTTCCGCTACCGCGGCGGGCACGGTTCAAAATCGCTCCGTGAGTTCTTAGCCTTATTATAACTAAGTTTCTAGATATCCTGTTCTATAATGATTTTATCATATCGATAAATAGTTGGAGCATATTCATTTCAAATGCGATTATGTGTACAGGTGTGCACGAGAACAGTCGCGGGGTGGGGGGCGTGGGCGGCGTGGTGGGGGGCACGCTGGTAGGGGGCGCGGCGGCGGCGGCGCTGCGCGGGGGCGCGGGCGGGGGCGCAGGCGGGGGCGCGGACTACTCGGAGGTGACGGTGGTGCCGGTGGCCACGGCCGGCGCCTGCAACCCGCCCTGCACTACCATATTCCCCTTCCTCGTCTTACTTTTCTTCATGACCTTCGTCGTCGCAGTTACGCAAATGCCGCTTCTGATGATCGTCTTGAGGTACTTACACTTTTCTAATCCGAATCAAACATTTTCGTGTTCTGCTATTAACTAAAATCAAGTAAAAGTATTAAGCAGTAATATTTTATTTATTAATATATGAATATTAGAAAATAAATTCCAGCAGAAAGAACTAAAAACCTGTGACGTACTTTTAACTTTATTTAATACCAATTAATTATCCTTAATATCTTTGTTTATAAAGGTCGGTGAGCGAAGAAGAACGTTCGTTCGCACTGGGCATGCAGTTCGTGATTTTCCGTCTGTTCGGGTACATTCCTGCTCCTATCGTGTTCGGTAACCTCATTGACTCTACCTGCCTACTATGGAAACAGTCATGCAGCGGAGAAAAAGGGGGCCGATGTCTGCTGTACGACATCGAACAGTTTAGATACAGGTATCATACATACACTTCCCACTTTATGAAGTACTATTTATATTCAATTTTGAAAGAACCAGATTAATATTAAACTAAAGATGATGAAGAAGATGATGATATATGATGTTATTTATTTGTTACGTTCTATTATAATATTATTTTTTTTTTGTTTTATACAGATACGTTGGACTGTGCGGTGGTATAAAAATTGTGGCGCTGGGTATATTCATGGCAGATTGGTGGCTCGTGCGACGTCGGCGACACTTAGAAGCAGCTGCTCCACTTGATCCCCACAAAGACATCGCCGGCTCCATCATCAGTCTCGACAAACGTATGAAAAAATTCAATTTGTTACTCACTATGTTCATTACAAAGAAGTTTTATTAAAGTACTAGCTAATCTCGCGCGGTTTTACTCGCTCGGCTCCATTTAATCGAAGCGTGATGTTTTTATAGCCTTTAGCACTCAGGAATATTGTAGCTATCTATCAGTGACAGGATTTTGAAAATCCGACCAGTGTTTCCAAAGATTACCCCCTACATGCAAACTTACAAACATACAAACATACAAATTTTACCTCTTCATAATATTAAGTATTAAATAGTATCGACTTGCTGCCAGTAACACCACAACAAAACAATTGCTAATACCAATTGGTTCAAGCATTATTGGGTTATGAGATTACTAACACATTTTGCGATTATATACTAATATTTATAATAGGTACTTTAATATTTATTGTTCCTATTACAGTTTTCGAAGAACTTCCATCTGCAGAAAACGCGAGTGGTTTTCGGTCTGGTGTCATGTCAGGTGTAAGCTCGGCGACCACAACGCCTATGGAGCCCCCGACGGGAGGCGGCGACGCTCACGACCCTTACCGACCCAAACTGCAACGTACCGAATCACAATATTCAGAGGACTCGCAGACACGAGGTCCCAGCGGGAAGAACTCCCGCGTCCTCGTAGCCTCCCGACACTTGCGCAATGACTCGAAAACGATTCAACTGGAGCCGCGCGCGCGCCAGCACTCGCTGGACGAGCCCGAGCGCAACCGCGCCGTGCGCAGCGACTCGCGCGACTCGCGCGACTCACGGGACTCGCGCGACTCGCGCCGCGACTTCCCGCGCTCCGCGTCGCGCGACCTGCCCGCCCACTCGCGCTCCGGCTCGCGCGACTTTAAGGTGCACTCACGCTCGGACTCGCGCGACCTCAGCCTGGACCAGCTAAAGCAGTTGGCGCTGAAGAGCATGGAGAGTCTGGACCTCAGCGCGCTGCCTCTGCCGCTGGCGCGCTGCGCCGACGAGGAGAGCAAGCGTCTCATCGAATCCGGCGGGGTACTGCGCCACCGCCGGACCAGCTCCAAAGACTCGAAGATGCCGGAGACGAAGCACAAGCGGACCTCTTCACATCACATCACAATGGAACCGCACGAGCTTAGTTTACAGATGCAGAAGGGTCGAAGTGTGGATCATCTGGCATCGTCTCGGCTGGATCCATGTGTGTAAAAAGAACAATAGCTAATATGAATATTATATATAGTGCCGGAACTGAATCTCGGTCAGGTGGAAAACAGAGTGTGAACATTTACTGACAACTATTGTGCACAACTGAGTGATAACGTTAACATGAGTAAGTTGAAAATGAACTACACTTATTCTAAATTTATCAAATAGTAAAGAATTATGAGTGATTTCAAATCATATCTTATATGTAGTTTCAATTGCTTTCTGGAATAAAAAAAAATCTTGCTTCTGCAGCTAACTAGTTTTCTAGAAATGAATGACTTATGAAGCTACAAGTAGGATTGTAATGTTTCATAAATTATGTAGTGTGATAACTGACTGTTGTTTTAACATTAAAAGTAATAAAAATGAATACTCGCATCACTCCCAATTTAGGTTTTAATATTGTAAAATGTAATTAGTTAAATTATAATGTAAACTTATTTTCTAATATCAAGATGCATACCTTACGAGAAAACTACTTTTTGTTGTACTTAAGATTCAAGTACATTATATTAAATTCTATTAATATGTTTTTGTACATTTTAATAATTAATGTTGCTATGTAAAAGGGGTCAGTTTTATTTGTATTAATTATTTGTGTGTATATTCTACCATTAGTCAAAATTCGCTGGCTGTTTAAAATCACAAATGTTAATAGTATGAGTCAAATCAGTGAATAATAGAGAAAATTAAAGTAATGAGGAAAAATTAACCGCAATATGAAAGTGCACTGACTTTTCTATCAGCACAAAGCTTTTATTTATTTCTGAAATGGTGCTCATTAAATGCTTGCCTATAATTTTTTCATAGCAAAAAAGTGTTACTGGTGACATCCCTCTTACTATCCTGATAGAATAAAATATTAAACCTGAGCACAAACAATCAGAACTGCTATTTGTAACTGGGAATAGTTCCAAACACCTTGAATGGTAAACAAAATCCATGATCTCGAAAGAAGGGAAGGAATGAATTTGCAACCAAATGTGAATTAATAACAATATTAAAATTACTTTTAATGCATCTTTGAATTTTGTAAATATTTATTTGTAGTAATTTTATTACGTATTGTGATCCTATTTTATGGAAGTATGTTGTCAGTCGTCTACTAGTGCAATTAAAATTCTTTACATACAATGGTCCATAAATTTACAAATTGTGTTTTTTGCATCTTAAACTTTTATAATTGTACATTTGAACAACTAAAATCAGTTTTTCCTAACTCATTAAAACCTGCCTTGGTTGATATTTACTCTAATCAAACCTACAAACTTAAGCATATAAAATTGATGTCAAAAAGACTTGTTTAATTAAATGCTTTTTTGAGATGTTAAAAATGTCAATTCTTGGGCTGCTGGTATAAGGAATTCAATTACTAACTATATTATTTAACTCTGATGGACAATAGAAGTAATAATATTACTTCTATAGAGTGATGTTCACTGTCCATTAATATGTTAGTTACAAAATTAACATGTATTTTAAAGCAATATATTTTATCTCAGATGAGAAAAGACAGGAATGTTGTCTGTGTAAATTTTTGTCACATATTGTTAAGAGAGGTTAATAGTTTGATATGAAAGAGAGTGTTTTAATGAAAAATGCCTTATTACTACAATAGATTTAAGACTTGATATTGATACTGACTTAGATGTATTTGAATAAGTTGTTATGTCAATCACCCAGACAAGTTTGATAATAGCAACTCCTAATTTGTTGCATTTAGTGATTAATAAAATTGCATACTTATTTTAGTAGTTCTTTTATTGTCACCAACAGAAAAAACTGAAATTACTCATTGTCACTGGGCAGCTTTTTTAACACTAATCTCTTCATGAAAGTCACCTGTGTGCAACATATCAAGTATAAAATAATTATATTATTCTATATATACACTAAAATGTACAAATCAATATACAACTAGAAGGGGAAGGTTGCAGGGACAAAATTATACAACATTTTACACAGTATTTGTAATTCTATTCAACTCTACATTCTACTTACAAGTATACAGTTTTACTGTCTCATATAACAGAACACATACATTCTAACTACAACTGGTATATTTACAACTGATGAAATACTTATTTAGTCCAACTCACCACATTCAGTAATGGTAACCTTTTTGGTAGGTTTTCCACTTGCAGATCCAAAACTTTCCATTTTAGATACAACATCCATACCCTCTACCACTGCACCAAATACCACATGTTTCCTATCAAGCCAGGGAGTTGGTACAGTAGTTATAAAGAATTGAGATCCATTAGTATTAGGGCCAGCATTAGCCATTGATAAGATTCCTGGGCCAGTGTGCTTCAGTTTGAAGTTTTCATCTTGAAAAACACGGCCATAAATAGATTTTCCACCTGTGCCATTGTGGTTGGTAAAATCACCTCCTTGGCACATAAAATTGGGAATGATCCTATGGAAAGAAGAACCCTTGTATCCAAAACCTTTCTCACCAGTACACAAGGCCCTAAAGTTCTCCGCTGTTTTAGGAACCATATCAGTCTCCAGTTTTATAACTATGCGTCCTAGAGGTTCTCCATCTGCAGTAACATCGAAGAATACCTTCTTTTCTGGCTGACAAGATGCAAATCGAAGAGCAACCGCAGAGTATAATGTCCCATTTATCAACGTACGGCGTAACAAAGTAGCCGCCATAGCCATTTTAGATGAAATATTACTGGAACAGAGGACACATTAATTTATAGTTAATAGATACTTAATGGTATAGATACACAATCCGTAGTAATATCACTGACATTAATTTATTTTTATCATTTTTAATAACCTAAACAGTGTATTACCTACCTACCAGCACGTTTTGTCACCAGCGACCAACGACCATAGAGTTAGTTCCAATAACAACCAAATTTTTACCACGATGTCAGAATATTCTTAGATTACATACTGGACCCGAAATACCTACAAAACATGCATGGACACCTACTTTACACCGCGGCCCTAATAATGGCTGCCATTGCTAGGGAAGTACTGTAGACAAAACCAAAAGTATCGATATCGATAGCCGAGTTTCATACATTTCTTCGGGCAGGTACTTTGGATTTTTTGAAGGTAGAAATCATCGAATGACTTCTCGCGCTCTGGGTAGAGCTAGGGAGTAGGGAGCATGTTAGACTTTTACTGGCTAAAACCATACCTGTGTTCTTCAGTGACATTTGCTCGTTGCGTTTTAGGACTACGGGTTTCCTTTTGAAAAAGTACCCTCGGCCCTAGCAAACGGGCATCGCCCCTGCCGGTTTGCTTACATTTATTTTAGAAACGCGTGGATCACATGTTGACGACTGAGCTCAGTCCGGTTAGTTAACAGATGGCGAGCAACCCATGTTGCACCCGTGTTGCTCTATGGTTACAAGATTATTAAAACGACAAAACATTTTTGAAAAAAGTACCTTTATTCATCATAACAAATCATCAATCAGGTCAAAACAAAATGCTTCATTTCAAAGAGATAATAAGACATTTTTGATTTCACGCAGAACCAGCCCTAGTGTTTTTTTGAAGGCTGAAAAATTGTTTTTATGATTATTAAATAATATCATATTTTTTATCACTAGAGTTAAACATAAAATAGTGTAAAGGTATTTAATAATATTAAACTTGACAAACAATGATATTAAATTATAGCACTGGATGAATCGACAAGCTGATCGGGATATTAAGAACAATGTAATGTTAATTACTTCACTTACAACAAGGTCGATTGACGGTACTACATCATCACGCAGCCTTATAACATCAAGGGTTTATTGAAGGATAATTCTGCGAAGTGTAATGAACAAATACGTGGCGCTTTAAGTCCAGGTTTGATATTTTCCGTCCCAATGACTTCAAGCCACTTCTGACGCAGCACTTCATTTTTAGGGAATCTGGGCAAATAAACAACAAACAAATTATTTCAGTTTGTTGCATTTAGTGGAACAAATCATAGGCTGAACTAAATGACAGCATCATATCAACATCATGAAGAATTGATATTGTTATGTTTTGCTACTATGCCTACTTTTAACCCTATTCTGTAAGATTTATTTTCAAAATCGTCTCTTTAGACCCTTTATTTTGATACCCTATTCTACTGGACACCACAATTATTAAACTAAAACAATGTCAGTTTCATATCAATACGTTATTAAATACAATACATCACTATTGTATATTTATCGTCCTTTGTATTGTAAACAAAACAAAATAAATTTAGCAAATAGAGATAGATCAGATAGATCAGCAACAAATTGAATGTACATTTGCGGGCTTTTATTCTATACATAAAACAAGGCTAGTTATAAATAAAAAACTAATAGTATGACTAAATTTTTCTTAAAATACGGCTACTAACCTGTGTATGGTCAAATGAGGTTGATTGGGGTTTTTCCTTACCCCACACTGAATTATTGAGCAAGTAGGCACATTGAATATGAACCACTAGACACTCACAGCACAAAACAATTTAGTTGGGAGCGTTTTTAATCTTAAAAATCGTAATTTAAATCTGATGTTGTTGATCGCTTGACACATGACATAATACATAACGGCGGCCGGCACCATAGATTTAGTATCCTAAAGATGTAGTTTCGAAGATATCATTGCTTAATCAGACGCGCCGAAATTTCACAAATTCCCACAGGTTTTGCACATACGCAATTAAGGGGCCCCATATTTCGGCGGATTAACATTAAATTTAACAAACACTATCTTTTTCTATTTCACCATTCCATTAAACGCTGTTCATAAACACAGTCCTATTTTTTTAAAAAGACGCTTTACGTAGAATTATATGAATACAAATTCGACTTGCCATCATCATAAATCATTAGCCAATCAAGAGACCAAGGTAACCCCGGGTTCCGGGCTCTAGCTAGGCCGACGGCAAAGTAGGAACAGGAGTTGATTTTAGTCAGTAACGGTCTGTCACGAAAAGGGCCGGAGATGACATTAGATGATTTCCCATAAAAAAATACCGTTAATCAGCTGGCTAATCCCTAAAACTATACCTAGGTAGAACTTATACTCAAATTGTATCGATAACGGCAGCCATCTTATGCGAAATTTTGGATTGTAGGTATGCACCTTCTTTTCGTAGGTATTTCAAGTCCTTATATTTCCTATGTCAATGACTTAAATGAAATCGAAAGTCATAAAAAATCATTGCACGAAAATCACGTGTTAAATTGGGGTTGACGTGACACAGACAATTTTCAATTTGCCGCCAAATCGTAAAACTCAGTAACATTGTAAAAGAGTTCTATTTTCAAATTATTTTTTTTTTTTTTTTGGAGTTTATGGCCTGGAGAATTATTTTTTATTATAGTGTATAAGTGGCCAGTTCTAAGAACTTTCAGTTTGAACCTCATATTTTGGCAACATTTTCTGTTACTGACAATAACTGTCTTGGGTTAAAGGACTTGTATCCAGGTCATAAACTCCAAAAAAAAACAATGACTGTCACTATAAGTAAATAATCTATAATAACCTAAAAAACTTGCTTTATGTTTGAAATATTAGGATAAAATATTTTTTTAAACTTGCATAATGATGCACTGTATAAGAACAGCTTTATCAATTGTCTGTCAGAATAGAAACAAAGTAATTTCTACTCAAACGTTATTCAACGTCAAGCAGGTTACAATTCGGCGATGGTTTTCATCTCAAAAAGATGATCCAGGTCAGAATCCTACTGCAAACTCCTTTTACCGGGAGAGTCAGTCAGTATTCTAATCATCTTAGTTTTTGTCTTAAATATTAATATGGAACTCCCTTACAGATATAATAGTAGATAACATATGTAACGGCGATGCTGAACTTGAAAAGAAACTAAGGATCTTAATGTTGGAAGTTGAGGTGATGCGTCAAGATGGTAGACACGCTCCAGATAACATAAAAAAAGATCATTGGCAACATTTATTAAGCTTACCATCTAAAAATCAGCGGGCTTCCTACCTTAAATATTTGTTTAAAACGGAAAAATCAAGAGAAAATTTTAAGGTATGACATAGATGGTACTTAGTTTCTATCACCATATTTACAATGATAGGATAGGATGCACATGACATTTCAAAATACACAGACAAAGTATACTTACCTCAAACAGTCAAATTAGTGTATCTTCATGTTGTTCATCTATAGAACTCTAATGAGTTCTTTAATTTATTAAACCCCAAGCAAACTATTCACACACCTATTGCCTTACTATTGTCTCTTGAATTACTATAATTAAAAGGTTCATCTTAGTATCCACTCATTTATGGTTGGTTTATTTCCATTTGTCATGATATCTTTATAGCATTGAATAAAGCCTTTTTTTAATATTTTTATAGGCAAAGAAAGAAGCTAAGAAACTAAACAATCCTGTGATAAAACCAGAAGATAACAAAGAATATGAAGATGACCTTCTGTATGGCATACAACATCAGTCATTATTCTTGCGCATTCGAGACCAGTCAATAAATCAATTTGACAATTACAGGTGTAGTACCATTTATGTTTTCACATCTATTGCATATGGGTGATGATGAAGCTATAAATAGATATATGATTAATTGGTGTTTTACCACTTCAATATAAATATTAATTTGCAGGGCCCTTCAAGCTCTAACTTATGGACAATCTGTTGTTATAGACTGCTCATATGAAGATAATATGGTTTATAAAGAAGCATTAAATGCTGCTAAACAATTGACATATGTTTTTGGTGACAACAGAATACACAAAGAACCTTTTAATTTGCATATGTGTAATGTCAACATGGGTGGACACTTTATGAAACAAATGCGGAAAAATATTCCATCATTGGATGAACCTTGGTTTCCACTTAACATTCACACTGAAAGCTATTTAGAAGTATTTCCAAAGGAAAAACTGGTTTATTTAACTCCTCATTGCAGAGAAGAACTCAGTAAGTTTGATCATGATGCTGTTTACATCATAGGATGCATGGTTGACAAGGTATTTATTATTTATTAAATAACAGAAGTAACAAAATTCTTACAAATTCTCAATTTTTTTATATTTTCAGGTTAATAATGAACCACTCTCATTAGCAAAAGCTAAAAGGGATGGTATAAAGATGGCAAAGTTACCCTTGGACAGATATCTTGAGTGGGCGCCAGGTTCTAAGAAGAATCTGAATATAAACCATATGGTACCCATCCTATTAGATTTAAAGCTTACTGGTAACTGGGAGTATTCTTTGAGGCATATTCCGAGAAGAAAACTGATGGAAACTAAAATATTAGCTATGCAGAGGAAATTAAGCCATAACCCTAAACTACAAAATGAAGTTATGAAAAATTTCAAGCTGGCTAAACTGAACAAATTATCATTTAAAGAAAAGAATTTTGGTTCATTTACGTTTAAAGAAAAGAAGAATAAGTCTAAGAGGACACTGTATGATGATGAAAATATATAAATTACCAATTAAAACATCTTTATTTATCTTACTATACTTCAGATTTTAAACATGAAAAAAAAAAATTGTGATAAAACTACAAATTATAATCTAGGTTTTGTACACTAAACATTTTCAGGCATTACATATACCCACGAAGTAAAATAATAGGCTAAACATTCAGTACTTTATACTAATTAATTTAACTTCATTCATCATGTTTCACTTTCAGCCATCCCCATTTATTTCATATCCAATTCTTTAATGTACTGGGAATTTGTGTTGTAACTTATTGCACAAAAATATTTTTACTAATATGCTTTGCACATTTAATTCATAAATGTATGTTTAAATCCTACAATTCCTAACTCAAGTTACATAATCTAATATTAGGTTTAATGCATTTTAATTGTCACAATCTACCAAAGTAGAATTAAATTACATCAAGGGATGTCTCCTGTATTCATCCAGTAGACAGTATGTAACCAAAATAATATAAAATACTATATTATTCACAAAACATAATTATAACATCTGCACTGCAAAGAAATCTTGTGCTTATAATTACATACACAAATTATTACTATATGTACATACATTTCTTTTATATGAACTATGGTAAGGGCAATCCACGCATGTCAACGTCTCCAGTAGATGACTCAGACCTTTGCTTGATTGTTGCTAAAATTTCTTGTAAGTTAGATGGTAAAGCAATGTCAGCCAAAGGAACATTTTGCACTGCAGGTGGGGTCATGGGTCTCGACGGAGAGTAAGCTTCATCCTGATAACATAAACAAACATGATTCTCTAGTATAGGTATCGAGTTTAACTTTATAATGGTAATCTACACGAATAAAAAATTACGTAATTATCTGAAATTACTTTGAAATAATATTACGCTTTACAAATTGACAGGTTTAGGAATTTCATTATATACCTCGCCAATCGAAGAGTCTGCTTGTGCCATCTTCCGAATTTGTTGTTTCTGTTCTTCAATTTGCCTGTTCAATTCTTCCATTTTACTTCTGAGAGTATTGGAAGCTAGAATTGGTCCCGATAATGTTTGACCACTGCCACTGCCACTGCTACTTGTGGAACCAGGACTATATGGCTCATCGTCGTCTGCAGAAACTAGTAAATAAAGATTGTTTTTAATCTACCTTCCATATAATGTTTTTTACCGTAGCAGATAAGTAAGAAAATGTTTAATATACCTAGTGAAGCAGCAATTTTATCCTTTACAGTAGTAGACAGGTTTGATGATGAATAAGCCGGTAGCGGAAGCTGTGGTCGCCTCCGTGGAGATGCAGGCGGCGTGTACGAGCGCTTGCGAGATTCCCGTGCCACCTAATTAACGTAATAATTAAAAGCATTAATAAGTTTGTCGGTAAATTCATAGTACAAAACTATATTGATTTTCATAATGTTTTGTTTATTATAAGGAAAAATGAAACATGGATTTATTTACATCATATCAGTCAATTTCTTATTTTACACTATCACAATAATATAAATTCAGCAAATAATAAATACAAGGAAATGATTTTTATTTGATAGTTATTTTACAAATCTTCACTCTCCAAACTGACCTTAGCGGGAACAACATCGGTCGGTATACCGGTAGCCAAACGCTTCTTTCTTTGTCGAATAACTATTGCGATCAAGAGATGTGTCTTAATGTCTCCAATTCCTGGACCATCAAGAGGCAGGAGAACAGAGGGTAACGGAGTGTTTGCAGGAAGTGGTACTATATAGAAATCTTTCACGGTCAACATATTCGACGCCTTTACAACTCCTAACCTAAAATTTGAAATTTGTGTTATAAATATCACTCTTAAATGAAAGTAAGTATGGTAAGGAAAATAAAATCATTCAATGGGAATTAAAAGGTAAAGGATATTAATATTTATTTGAAATAAAACTATATTAGAAATACGCATTAAATACATTACAAACCTATTGCGACTACTTAGATAACTATACAACGCAATGTATTGCATTTTTTCTTCATCATTTGCAGTTTGTAGTTTGAGAATCACAATGTCTTTCGTGCTTGTTTTTTTCATTTTTGCAATATAGTCCCACACAGTATCAGGATTTATTCGTCCAACAATATCTAGTTCTGTACTAAGATCTTCTTCCAAATCTACTGAACTACCAGACACCTGTAATGTAAAACAAAGAGGAATATGTTAAAACCAGTTAACCAAAGTAAAAGTCAGTTTTGTGCGGTATAACAGAAAGATGGGATTTGAGATGGGTTCGAGAAAGGACGTCAGGACTTTTATGAGATCATCTAACCTCGTGTGCTGCAACATAGAATCTAGCTACATCCACCATGTTGATACATCCACTCCATACTGTTGCCGCCGAATTATCAACGGTACTGCTCGGTTCTTGATCGCTTTCAGCTTCTAGAAATAATAGTAATAAAATAAAATAAATATAATTTATGAAATCGTCTATAAATAAAATTAATAGTAGCACGTGTTAATCAGGGAAGTCTTAAGTGAAGTTTAGGAGCTAGTAATTAAAAAATACTAATATGTATACAGTATACTATGAACCAACCCGATGTTTTATCTTGTTTTGTTGAATATCTTGTAGACATTATTACATTAGTGTCGATCAGTGATTTCGCAGGATCATACTCTGCTTCAAAACTACTCATGTCGTTCCTATAGTTTTCTTCGAAAACATCTTCCCTGGATTTCCGTAAGTCTTCTTCAGAAAATGCCGATGTTATCATTGGTTCATGAGGATCATATTCAGGATGAGTCTCCTTCAACATAGCTGATTTTGGTCTCTCTATTGAATCAGAATCTGTAGAACTGAACACACATCAAATGTAAATATTTCGAACAAAATTAAATTAAATTGTAAAAACAATGTGGAAAATACAGATGCTTACTCATTTTTAATCTTAGTACAAACATTTTCTTGAGATCTGGATCGATGCTTCTGCTTTTCATCACTGCTAACAGTCCGTTTGGAACGTGACGTATTCCTAGGGCTATCGCGGGATGGAGAACGTCGCCTGGAATGCGCCCGAGATCTTGACCGTTCTCGTGATTTTGATCGTCTCCTGGATTTATCTCGCGACGACGATCTACGCCGTGATCGTTCATTACTATCGGATTTGTCTTTTAGTTCCTTTGTTCTATCTTTTGAAACCGACCTAGTTCTACTTGTCTTCTTCTCAGACCTACGCATTGATCGTCTCTGTTCTTGTTTATCATCTTTGTCATTTGACGCAGATCTTCTTCTAGACGATCTAGATTTCCTTTCGGAGTCCCGTTTAGATTCGCGTCTACTCCTCTTTGAACGACCGGAACTGGTGTCATCTTTGTTCCTTTTTTTACTACTGTGTTTCTTATCTTCCTCTGCTTTATTCATCCTAATTAACAAAACAAAAAATTTGATGTCTATATTTATAACAAGTACCAATGAAGTTATATATTGAGACGGATGCTTACTTTTCTTGAGTTCTATCTTTTGACAGAACATCCTGACCAACAGTTGAGACGTTTAATGCTGTCACTACATCTTCAACAGGAACATTTGGATCTAATTCTGTTGATACAGATTCTTTTGTTTCCATCACCTGAACAAAAATGTTGGAATTAATTGGGTAGTTTCCTGGGTCGAAAATAAATTAATTCGATGTTTCAATAAATTAAAATATTGGAAAAAAACTATACTTTTATTCATAGATCGATACAATAAGTTTGAGATATTTTTAAGCAAATTTTTAAGAAATAAGTAATCTATTTGACGCAAAAATACTATGACGTCATAACTCTTTATACGAATTTCATAGAAACGTATTGAATTTGAATAGTTGGTAACTACCATAGTATAAGAATTTATATGAAAACATAGGAATTAAAATGAAAAAATAGGAAAAAAAAATGTTTTTACCTCTTCTCCTTTATGTGTTTTAAGAACGTAAGTTTTGCTGGCCGCTAAAAGGTCGAGTTCTGATTTCTTTATCAATTCTAGCTGATGCTTAGCCTCGTTATCTCTCCACTGTGCCAACTCTTGACTTGCTAATTCTTCAGGAGACAGGCGGACCTAGATTTACAATGAATACCATATTAATATAAATTGAATTGATGGTAATAATTGAGTTCAATTTATATAAATCAATCAATGTAATACAAAAACTTACGAGTTGTTTAGGTGTAATAGACTTGTCGCAAATTTTTTCCCATAGTGTTAAATTTTTCCGATCTTTAATGTTGAACATCAGAGATCTGTATTTAGCCTTGTATTTCATTCCCACGTCCTTGAATAGTTCGTGCAGCTCTGATTCAGTGTCGTTGGCAAATTGTTGTATTTCTGAATCTGTAAACTTTGGACCACTATTTTCTGCCATTCGAATGCTTAACTGTTCTTGCAAAGCTTTCCGCACATTATCTCTAATTGGTTCACCACTTGACATTCTGATTCTGCTGTGAGTATCTTTCCGACGTGACGTTGATGGCGAAACTGAAGGAGCCTGTAATATTACAATAAATTAACGTTAGCTCGTCATCTCATCTTCGTAATCATAATGCAAACACGTTCAAGGTCGTCCATATTAGACAATTCGTATATAATGAAAATAATAATAAAAATTATCAAAGATGTTAACCACATCAAATACATTACATGAGTCAGATGTTCGGTAATTTGATAAGAATTGATGGGTGATTATTACATAAAATTCATAAAAGATAGATAATTTTTAAATATACCTTTTCTTGGGAGGATTGTGCCTGTGTGCTAGGAGTTCTTATCAATTTCCTGGAGGTTACTCCAGGTCTAGCTGATGACGTGCTTGCTTTTGGAGTATCACTCAATTGAACTTGTTGTGATTTTGGAGTAACAGGAGATTTGAGCTGTGGGTTAGCCTTAGGTTCTTCTTTTGGGGCTGATATTAGTTTAATAGATCTTTCTTTAGACTCTGAGGTTGGCGTCTTCATAGGTGTCACTTGTTCAGCAGACTTCCTAGGTATTCTTTCGAAGTTGAGAGTAGTCTGAACCTTATGGGGT